GGGTTAAGGAGTTCCTCAAAGTACTCCCTCCATCGCCAAAGAATATCATCTTCTTTGGTCAGAGTGTATCCGGATCTGTCCTTTAAGACTCTGAGACTGCTCGTTTTTTCACCTCGGAGCCGTCGGAAGGTCTGCCAGAACACTTTTTTTTCCGTGCGGAAATTCGACTCCAACACCTCACCGAACTTCTCCCAGGAATCAGGCTTGGCTTTTGCCACTGCTATGGCTGCTGCCTTGCGTGCCTCGACATATCGCACGCGTGTAGATTTATCGTTGTTTCCAAGCCATTTCTTCAACGCTGCTTTCTTCTCTTTAACTGCCAGTTGTACCTCTCGTGTCCACCGTGAAGATCTTTGCTGACATTCAGGCGGCAGGCCAACCCGTTTATATCCGCAGCATTCGGCGGCAGCGTCGAGTATGGCGTTCTTAAACTGCTGCCAGTCGGTTTCGGCATCAGTTGTCATCGCTGGGATCTGTTCAATCCGTCGTGCGATGTTGTTTGCAAATTTCGCTCCCGTTTGATGAGAGAAGACCGAAGATGATGATTCCATTTGATTCTATTTGATAAAATTCTCCGGTTGTTTGTGCCACCAGATCTTCGTGTGGTACTCCGTTTCTTACAGCGCAGCGTATGAACAACAATGTGATGATTGGTTGATAGCTCTGCGCCTCTCTTAACTCGAACATCCATTACTGAGTGTCTTAAGTCAGACGATACGATTTTCAAATCAATCATCGACTTCTGTTGCGCAAACTTCCCGGTACCAGTTGTACTGATGCACTTTTCGATGCTCGAAGAAGGTGTTCATAATGGACAATTCGTTGTTTGCTCAGAACCGCAACAACTTCATGTGATTATTGTTGAGATCCCTGGGGCCGTTTTTTCCAATCACGCCCTTCCACTTTTCAGTGTCTACTCCGACGTGGGGATTAAATTCATAACCCATCTGTGTTAGGGACTGTGTATTCGGCACTTCGGACGGAGCACACTTCACTTCCTGAATGAAGGTCTCATATTGTCCCTCGAAAGTGGGCGCATCGATTTAGCCTGTTGTAGGTTCAGTCGGAGGATTACCACACTTCCGCTGATAATCGTCCAATCGATTGTTCTTTTTGCATAGTTGGGTTCTACCATAACGCCAACACCGGCCTGAGCGCGAGTCGTGATATCGACGCCTTAGTAGAACAGCTTCCATCCATTGAGGTTCAGGAATCCAGAGCCTAGGCGTTTTGTTGACGAGAGTCGAACAGTGTCGAGTTGGTACTTCATGGCCTCATCAACTAATTTATGTTCTTTTCCTTTGAGTGAGGATATGTTCCAATTTTGGACTTTAAGATCCCACTATTGGTGTGGTTCTCGTGGAGCTTTTTCTGACGTGCTGTAATGGCATCGCGCTGTCTGCCTCCTCCGTTCAGAACTGGTAGCGACTCCGTTGCTGACTGGTATCTTCATCGTCGTTCCGTCGTTCTTCGTCGGCCGTCGTTATGCTGCTACGTCTGGCAGTGGCCGATGAGCAGGTTCTGATCACCGACTTTTTGCGGTCTTCCTCAGTCGCCCAACAGCCTTCGCGGCTCTTGGTAACCCGGGCAACGACCAAGCCGGTATGATCTTTGATGGCGTCACTACCATGAGTGGCAGGTGGCTATATTTTACGGTGCCACGGTCTCCAACCCTTCTCCTTTCTCATCCGGGCTTTTGATCAGGAGTGTCGCAGCTGTTGCTCTGTAGGGAATATTTCTGAGATGAAATTGCGATTGTTAGGAAATCTATTATGCACAACCCACTTGTCCTTAGTTGTTTAGTCGAGGTGGAAGGACTCGTTCCTGAAATATTTTTTTTCGCGATATCATAAAGTACACTGCACCTTAGAGACGAACTCGAAATGCTGCAAAAGTTTTTTTCAGTTACATTCAGTATTTCTGTAAAATTTCAATTATCTGCTGAATGTCTAAATTTTTAATTACGTTAAAATTTTTTTCTATAATTGACAACCCTCATTCTCGATAGTGCGGGTGTCCATGCGTTGTTGCTGGACCCTTTGGCTGAGTCCACATGAAAAACAGATTGCTCATTCCCCTGTTCTTCGCTCCCGCAGTGCGGTCCCCTTGCTTTGATCACTGCACTTTCATTGCGACACTGTGTTGTTTTTTCATGGCTCTTGGCTAACGGAAATTTTGTTTGCATGCTTCAAACTTTAAAATTGTTTTCTCTATGCATGACGTAACATTTTGCTCAAGAATCTGTGACACGAATCTTCGACATTTTGTATTTTAAAATGCTGTCTGTTTTAGTTTTCAATTTTGTTAATATTTAGTTTGAGAAAGAACTGATCAAGAAAATGGACGTTTTGATTGAACGTGGCAAAGGTGATATGAGATATATCGATTGCTTCAGGAAGATGTAAGCATT